CTTGTCAGTTTCTATCCAGATTGTCTGAACATATATCTGGTAGAGGGATGTGAAGGAAATGGCGAAACTTTTGGGTGTTGTTGATGCTACTCCCCTAACAGGATGGGAATCGTGTGATCCTCACTGCACCTGGTTGGAGGCACTGCAAGGTATGGCTGCCAACCGATGTCAATGACGATCTTGTCGTCAGTTTCTATCCAGATTGCATGAATGAGTGTTTGAAGGTGTAGGCACCTAGGAATTGTTGTGGTAAGCTTTTATTAATCCCCTTCCGCCTTTATTCTCTTATTCTCAATATGGCTTTTTAAATGAATCAGGGTTGTACAGCGACGAAGCAGCGATGTTGGACACTGATGTCATGCTGTGGATGATGATGGTGGTGATGTAGTCACCTTGGGATGATTGTCTTTCTCATAACGAGGCTTTCAAATCATGGTTGTACAGCAGTACCGGTGTTAAACACTGATATTATGCTATGATGGCGGTGCACAATCACTTCACTTGCTCAGTCGGTCGATACTGGTGGTCTATGACCATCGCATGTGGGTGGAAATCCATCCAGCTTACAGACCCACGAATGCCATTACATCTCTAGGGTTCAGACGATTGTCACTCGCTTTGGACCTCTAGGGGCTGTCTGACAATAGCAGTCAGTTCACCTCATAGATGTTCTTTGTCAGTAGAACTGTACATCCCATTTCACCTTGCCGCCGTTTCGTCCGCAGTCGAACAGCCAGACAGAGAACTTCATTGACACCCTGATGCGTGCGCTTCAGAAGTCCAAATGGCATGGACCGACGGAGAGGATTTCACAAATGTTCACACCGGTAAGTCGAACAACACTGAACCCGAATTCGTCTGATGAAGTTTCACTAGCAGAGGCATTGTTAGTTTTGGACGCGTATCTACTGTCGAGGTTTGTACAAATTGTGAATTTCTCTTACCCTAATAGTACCGTATAGAAACCCAGCTCCGACTTTGTTTTGCCTACCCGGAGGTTCTGGTATTACGCGTCACTCGAAGATACCGTTCGACCGTTACAGGCATTGTTCCGGCAGAAGCTTCGAACACCGTATGATACTATTTTGCCAAGGAAAGTGCAACTTGGTCATCGCGTGGAAGAACAGTTCAACGGGAATCCCGCGGTAACCACAGGCCGCCTCAATGAAGGCCAGGGAGTGTTGGTTCCGATGTGACATCAGCTTGACTGTCGAGAGGAGAGTGTACAAATCTGTGTTCCGATTTGTCCTACTTTATGGCTTAGAGACGTGACCGCTGCCGCTCATTTGATTAGCTTGTTGAGAGAAACTGCAACTTTTACACAGACAACTCAGCCAATATATTTCGGTGTGTCGCGGAGGCTTACAAATTGTAACACCACCATAAGGTCCAGTCCCTTCGTCAGGCATTTATAGTCGAAAACTACTCAGTGAGCCGAATAGTGGTAGTTTCAAGTTGGGCATCAGCTTCTAGCATCAATAAGAGGAACTAATCCAGGTACATCTACTTTTGAGCTCTGGGTGGCTCTAGTTAAGGTGCGAACTTAATGACTTTAGAGTCCCTCGTTCGAACCCAGCTGCTCCGGTTTAGGATAGGGCAATGTGGCACTATCCTATCCTTCACTCTTCCTTCTGGTGGCGTGGCAGGTAGGAACCGACTGCCAACTGACCTATACTTGATGGAATATTCTGGTGCGTTGTGATTGTCGCCTGCTGATACGGGAACAGAACATAAATGGATTCAATAGTCTGATTCAAATCACATTAATCTGCGTATCGAAATATATGCTTCAAACCGAACTGCTTCACTAGGTGCAAGACGTCTTTTAAATTACCATGCATGTTCTTACTGTTATTTAATGTCTTGGTAATTTTGGCGCATCGTTTTTACGCTGAAAACTATCAGTGGATATACTGTCAACGCGTCTTGCCATATTTTTTTTTAATTTTTAACGCATTCTGCTTCGTTTGCTTCAGCGCGATATACTCGTATTGAGTGGTCCTGTTTTATGCTAACATCGTTTCGAAGAATAATGGACGTTTTGGTACTAAATGCCTGGAGTGACAACTACATGTATCTTTTGGTAGAACAGGCCTCAAAGGTACGTTTTTCTGTCTTGTACCTGCAATCCAAACTGCCTGACAAGGTTTTGGCTTGAGTAATCTTAGAACATGATGTTGAGAGCTCTAACCGTATAGTTGTCAGTTGAGATATTGTTTCATCTTGGCAACAACGCTACAAAGTTTCAGCTACTGATCGAAGTGGCATCAGTGTGTGGTGGTGTATCGGTTCCTCCATGAAACTGAGCCTGGTTGTTCGCGTGAATTGGTATGTAACTTTTTTTACAACCCGATTGAGAGTCCGTGTGTATACTGGCATACTGCATGTACATAGTTTTCAAAACTTGTGGTTACTCTAAAGGCAGAATGGAGATGATGTAATCTAGACGTCTAAGATAAGACACAGCCACTTGTGAAAGTTTTGACACGAAATAACAGGAATACATAATCGAAAAGCCTCTCGATAGGATGGTCACATGCAGTATTCCCTAATTTTGTCAGACTTGTTTTCGAATTTTTGAATTTGATCTCAGTGTGTTCGAGTTATGAGCGTGGAATTTCTGGGTTTCTGCTTCTTGGAGTCTTTATCCAGCTGATTATCCAATTCGCCAGGAGTGGGATATGGTGAAATGCACGCGTAGTGTGATAATTTTGTTGCGAGTTGTCCGTACACAGGTGAAATGCATTTTGCACCGAAAGCTTTGGTTTGAAGCTGATTAATGGATGTCCCATGATGTGCTGCCAGATCGTCTTTTTGGTGCTATCGGTGTCGAAAAATGTTCAGCTGTAACACCCTTTCGCTGTCCAGCTGCCATGCCACGCAAAGGAAGCACGAGGATTGAGGTACTTTCAGGTCGCCCAATTCCAGACCGGGGAAGTCAAGAGGCAGACGGGTTCGAACCACGGACCCTGCGGTCAGCAAATTCGCGCTCTAACTGCTGAGGGGTCTCGCTGTCAGTGTGAGGATTCCCGGGTGGCTTATTGGTTAAGTTGCTAGTCATTGGCCAACCTGGCTTCTTGCCAGCTCTTTTCCAGGCGTGAACGGTATCCCGACCCTCGGATTGAATAGCGCCCATACACCGAAACCGTGCTACAACTGGACGGTCCGGTTTTACTTCAGTTCAAGAGTATATTTCATTCCTTTCTGGGCCGATATAGATGCTGGAACTCTGGCACTTGAAGGATTCTACTCAATCTTGCAGTTCATTTTTAGCCGTGGTTGATTTTACTTGAACGAAGGTAGTGATCAGGGAAGACAGACCGTTTCCGCATTGAGTTCTATTCCGACAACTCAAGGGTAACAGTGCGGGATGATTCGTAGACTATCTTTTTTAGCTTCTATCAGTTTGAATAAAAGCTGTCAATTTGATGTTTTGGAATCTGACCATGCTCCACACGCCTGTGGTTTATTCGTTCTCCTTATCAAAGACAAACAAACAAGCTCCTAGGCCAGAATTGCACTCTCATGTGCGCACACAGCAAGTGGTCAGTCATATTTCGAAAGAGTAGTGATGGCTTCTCTGATAGGTGCCACACTTTATTTGTACACAAAGCTCCCTAAATCACCGGTATGTCTGGTTTCTGAAAACCGCATTCCACAAAGTTCTAGTTGACTGTTTACGGATGTGTTTGGAAAGCTGGCCAGATTTGAGTATGGGCATATCCTATACAAACTAAATGGACTCAGAATAGCCTGAGGTACCAGTGACAAGGAAATACGCTGCCTCGTTAGTCACTGACGTTTGCAACATTCGTCAATTTTGATAAACGCATGGTAGCCACATCCTTATTTGGTGTTTTGGTCCATCAATTTCCTAATCTTGTGGCGTGCTCGGCAAGTAAGAGGATTGTGGGATCTTTGAAATTTACAGATATATGGCTACATGTCTGCCGGATCTATTTCAGCTTATTAAACAAAGGCGTTTTAATAATTTGATCTGCTGTGCCTTTTAAATACCAAGATGACACGCCTAACGTGTTGGTATGATATTACACTTATGCGAAGGCATTGCGCATCGCAGCGCTGGACACTGGGAATTCTGTCGATTAAACCGTAACCTATCGCAAAATACAGAACTGAGGCAGGATTCGGACGCTATAAAAGTACAACCAACCATGCTACATGAAAGCTCTTATGGCTGTAACGTGATTTGATTTGGGATTTTGTGTGCCTTTTTAGCATTCCACGCATCTGAAATATATATCGAATTACCTCAAGAGAAATAGCATTCACAGAAGAGTCACGTGGAAGCGAATTACGATATGATATATGAAATTGTCCGACAAATCCCATGCATCCAACGCAGTATCTGACGGGGCACTCCTGTTGGGTGCATCAGTGTATCGATACAGCCAGAAAGGTTACTGAATTGTCATTTGGGGCATCCAGCTGATCAAATGCGTCTCCCAAGCATGAATATTTTCGTTAATTTAGGCATGGTAATTCCAGTCGTCCGGTTTGCTATGAGAAGGTGGTAGGGACGCCGTCACCTTGCGTACTGAATATCCTGGATTCAAACCTTAGCATTGCTGACAGCAAAATGAGTCAGGTGTTTCTTCTCTTTATATGGGTTTGCGATAAAAACGCTAACAATCGCGCCGAGGAGTTAGGTTACTGCTTAAACAAGAATAATGTGGAAGTGCCACAAAAACCTTGCCAGTACCCTTAAGTAATTCACGAGCGCTGATATTTGGATGGTGCACCGCCTGATAACCCAGTAATTTTCGAGTTCCTAATTACCAGAGTGGGTTCACCGTGATGCAGTTTACTTCACTAGCATTACTTTTGGTTCTCATTTGAGCTTGGTTATGTATATCAAACAATACCGTTTCCATCCAGTTATGAACATCGTATGATCAATGCCGTTGCATTTGGTTGTCGCACTTATATTATTTCCGCTCCAATTGTGTAGGCTTGTTGATTTCTTTTAGAGCAAACTATGCAATTAGCTTGACTGATGTCACCACATATTAAGTCAGAAGAATCTTCGTTAGCCATACACTTTGGATGAAGTTGGTAATCTATGTCTTCTTCAGGGACAGGGGAGACAATTTAGTGAATTCTAAGGGTTTCTTCTCGAGAGGCTACAGTGTATATAAGTGGTGAAGCTTTATGTTGGAGGTCTATCCCTTTCAGAAGAGCATTTCCCGAAGAGACGATGTAAGGCCGTACTGCAAGAGAAAAGTTTGCCGGCGGGTGGTGAATGATGGTCTAACTATTTAATTACATGGGTATTTGTGATCAGCAAGCGTACTTGTTTTGTTTATCGAGATATCGGTTGGAACTGTCACACACGATATCCAGCTAATCGTTGTTGTATTATCGTTAATCACGTTGTCGGCGCGCATTTTCGCCTACCGTGGTGTATGTATACATCGTAGTTTTTCGTTGTGTAAACAAACCGAGAAGTTCTTATTCCGTTCATTGTTTAAAAAATTTCGTTCCACCATAGAACCACACCCGTCTGTCAGTAAGAATCTAATTGTATACAGCCATTATCACCATGATCAGTGTCAATTTGTCGAGTAGACTTAATTACCCGGTTTAGGCTTTGGAAATGTCCCATGATAGCACGACCTTCTACTGTATTGGAAACTACTGAATGGAAACTGACTCGATTTATGGTGTGTTGGTAGCTCTGTCTGAAAATGAACGACGTCCAGGGGGTTCTCGCCTCCCGTGTAATGTATTGTTGAACGCGTGTAACTGTTGTAAACAAATCTCTTCTTCGTATCTTACTTTGAAAGTTCAATGTGTGGCATATTCGTTTCACAGTAATTTCTGGAAGATTTTTGCGTACACCGTTGTGTGTGAAAATGCCTCATAGTCCAAACATTCAATTCGGAACCATCAAAATGGAGGGATATCGTTAATCATATGTGAAATAGAGGCATTATGAATTCACACCCTTTTTAACAGCCCCTCATGGCCTGTCTGTGTGATTACCGAGACTATTTCAGAGCAAAGCCATCAAGTTCTTAAAAGGAAGAATAAACTCCTGGATCTTGTATTGGTTGCTGGGTTTGAAGAATGGCGTGCCAACACATCCACTGATCTTGGACAGTTATCGCATGATTTTCTCTTTTCAAGGAAGGCTGTCATACGTTCTCTGGACAAGTGATCACAATTTTGGTGGCCTATATTGGGACTTGTACAAAAACGAGTGCCAGTACATGACCTGATGCGTTTTAATGATTCTAGTTTTCCTATCCATCAGTTGTATGCAAAACGACGAACGACGGTACCCTTCATCAGACGTTAAGAGAACGGTGGGCTGAAGAATACGAGATCTCATGGTATAAAGGGACATCTTAGAATCCAAACGTGGGCACATTTAAGCGAACTCATTTAGGAGACGGTTTAAGACTTTGTTGGAAGGCGTCCTATTCAATCCTGTTATTGAAAGCCATCAATAGCCAGTTTTATTTGGACGTTGGTTGCTCCTGAAAAGCTGTGCATGGGTTCCTATAGAACAATACTGAAGACAGATGTGAAGACGCAGAGACTGCTGAATGACCAGAGCGTCATAAGGTGTTTGGGCTTGATATAGAACTGTCAGTTATCAGAGACATTTGAATGGATTTCGTGATCTGGTAGCAACGGGCCATCCGTGATAGAGAGACCTCATTACCTCATATCTTAGGCAGTGTGAATGACCAAGGTAGACCAAAGTGTCAGTTAGCCCATTTGAAACATATGCGGTTGGAACGCGTGCGATATCTATTGACTCAACTTCGCCAAAAACTGTGGTCTGATGACTTGATGTGGCCCACTATTTTGCTGGTTTGGTTTCATGGTGGTCTGATCACTGATGAGTACTACCTATTCGTTCAGCACGGTCCTGCTCAGTAATATCGTTTGAATACAGCCTTGATCCTAGTTTTCTCTAAATTTACAGCGCCGGTCCACATACCTGACTGGTGACTTTTCCGCTGCAATGCGGGTGCATCGTAGGATAGCTTCAAGCTACAGGAGGCGGGAAAATTTAGATTGCGTGTATTGAAAGTGGAGACTGCACTTATCTCGACCACAACAGATTTTCTGTCTTCCTATGCCACCATGTCACTTCATGTACTGGATCTTGAATGCTTTAGTTCATACTGGTCAACAACTAAAATTATCAGATTTCCCGTGGTTCTGGCCCTAAAATCATTTGTGCCGTTTCTTTGTGAGGGGTAAATTCGTGTGTGTGGAGAAACTTGTTGGAGTTTTATGGCGTACTTCGCGAAGTGTAGCATCTCTGCTTAGTGAAACTCATCTGTCGTCTGTTTCCCAGTTACAGCTCCAAATAACTTCTTGCTACCGCCGTGATATAAAATCACGTGACCTCCACATCTAGTATCAGCGACCGCACTGTTCCTGGCACGTATTTTGTAGGGCTCCCTCCGAAGTCAGCAGCTTGGCTTTGTAACCGGGGTCAGACCGCCCAGGTCACCAAAAAGCAAAACCATAGGCCCTCTGAAACTTCCCCAATATAAATGTCTTGTTCCCTGATGCCCATATATGGATCTAAACTTGTATAGGTGGAATCGATGCGTCTTTTGTTGACTTCCCTTCTAATGCTGAAATCACACCCAACTGTTCACTGCAAAACGAGTTAGTATGTTTTAACGGGACACAGCAGTAAGCGATAAAAAGCCGCCAAACATCACTCATACAGTGATCATATGTGGGACGTGCAACCACTGTCGATAGAAGTCCTATTGTATTGGCTCGTGACAAAGGACCGTCGATTTTCTCTATATCGAACCTAGTGATTACAAAACCTCAAGGAACTGACTGGAAGAGTGTTGCGGATCGTCTAAAATGTATTGGCTGCTGGGTTTGAAGAATTTCGTGCCAACTCATCCATTGATCTTGGACAGTTATCGCATGATTTTCTCCTACCACACTTACTTGCATAAGGCTTTGATTCGTCTTCTTGTGAATTATATATATATATATATATTGACAATAGCTCTTTTCTAAGCAAAATTAGGAAAGTTTTCTCTTCAGAATGAACGAACTATTTTGGGTCATAGCTATTCCTTTGGTCACCTTAGTGGAATAATCAACATCCCTGCATCTTGGTTAGATGTGCGCTGCTGTGGATCCCGTCGAACCGGAGAAAATATTGGATGCGGTCACCAAACACGGATTAACCCTATCACTTGTATTAACCACTCATCACCGTGCGGATCATGCAAGCGGAAATGGTGCTTTGGCAAAAAAGTGGAAAGAGAAATCTGGCGAGAAACTTATCATATACGGTGGTGATAAGCGGGTTGATGCTTTGACTAACCTGGTCTCTGACGGGGAGGTGATAAAAGTTGGCCACACTCTGAATGTGAAGTGCTTGGCAACACCATGCCACACAACCGGGCACATATGCTACTACGTCTCGGATTCCACCAAAGACTGCCGTGCTGTTTTCACTGGAGATACACTTTTCCTTGGTGGTTGTGGTCGGTTTTTTGAAGGTACACCGGAGCAAATGTGAGTTTATCGATTGTCTGTATCAGTCTAATATATCCCGCATATTAGTTGGCTTATTTCATTCGTTAACTAGCCCAGTGATGTCATCCTTTTTTAGCTGGTGACAGGCTTGGCCGGTTCATGAGAGCCATTTATGCTCTCTTTGCGGATCTAGTGTATTATTTCATGTCTTGCCTACTCGCAAGTAGCATAATTCGTTGTCTGTTTACTGTGATCCTTTCGACGGTCCTCTTAGCCGGAGGGATGTCACTCGTTTCCGAAGTTTGATTGGGGGTTGTCGCGTCTGTCAAGTGTCCTGTTTCAGTACTCACTATTTTCCTTTCTTCTGTTATCGGTCAATTTATTCTTGAATGCTTTTCACTTATGTATATAGGCACCATCTCGATTCAAACCTTATCCAGACGTCTTGAATTTGTCCCTAAGGAGCAAGGAACCCTTGTTCTGTTCTTCAAGAGCTAGACGCTTTCCAAGAAAGCACTGTTGCAAAATTTTTCACGGCTTCCGCCCTCTACCTCTACAGCTGTGAGTTTACCATTTCGTACGGGTTCAATGTTTTTTGGCGCCGAAGAAGTCAGATCAGCCTTTGATCGAATTCCAGGACGACTGGATATCTGTCTGGATTATGATTTGATTTCAGCCAGACTAGCTCTGTAACCCGAGTATCTCATTCAACACTTACTAACGTTCTATTCTGGGAAGTACACCAGTGTGGGTCAAGTTGCTCATTCAATGGGACAATTTCCATGTTACAGGTCATTGTGTAGTACACTTAACTCTGGTGATTCAAGCAACCCGTTTATTGATGTTTATCTGGAGAGGACGGAGGTAAAGCAGTGAAGCATTATAAAGCAATCATGTCGACCCACCGTACTTTTGTGTGCACTGTTCCCCAGGCCAAGAATCAAACTGTTATAATGCGAATCGGCCATGGTTTCATTCAGAAAGAAGTGATAGCTGTGATATCATATCCTAGTGCTCCTGAGGGTTTGCTAGCTCGTGTTCTCAAGTTTCGCTGGTCAATCACAAACCCGTATCAAAATAATCCCTGAAACGTCAACATTATCCCAGCTGGCAGGACCATTTTTTTCTGCTGCTCGCTCACTGTTCGCACCACTCAACCCATCAATATCATCAACCGTAAAAACCGCATACTTGCTGTACAGTGGTTATAGCTGACAAAGTTTTGTCCACTGATGATTTAGGGACGTGGGGGTAAATGGCTGCACATACTTGCTGTAGTTATAGCTGACAAAGTTTTGTCCACTGATGATTTAGGGACGTGGGGGTAAATGGCTGCACATTGGAGACGGTAGATGAGATAATTGATGCGTAAGTACAGGGGCATCAGTGGACTTTTCATTTGGGAAATCGGGATCGGGGGAGCTATGCATCGGAAGCAACAGCTTGAATGTATGAGCGCTATTTAGGGCATCGCCGGGCCATGTATCACAATGTTTCTAATTTCCTAATGTGTCCTTAATCGGGGTCTCCATACAAGGCAAAGACTAGCACAGCCGAGTTTATTGGTAATTTCTCTCATACATCGCTGCCAAGTCATTGTTTATTGTTAATAGGTAGCCCGGTGCGTAAAGCATACAGATAACTTACAACCGAACGACCCGGTAACGTTTCCTTGTGTGGAGGGAACTTTGACCCCTTTGTCATGGTGATTTGTGAGAAAATGATGATTGAGTACCGTTTAGTTTATCCAATTTATCGGACTCAAGCTCTCCGGAGCTGACCACATTCACGGATGTTCGACCGTATTGGCTTGCCGATCTACATTTGTCAGCATAGCATGAATAATCATAGTCACATACAGAAATTTATTAGGCTCAAATGCTTTCAAATACCACCACGGAAACTTATTTTTACTTAATTTCGCACAACTTTACGGACAGCGGTATGCTTTGAAACCCCTGCACGGGATACTTCATTGTTTGATTTGCGAGCTACTGACCATGTCGTCCTTGGTTTGTACCCGTGTTGGCTTTCCATTTACTCCTGTCTAGGATTGGGCATCGTGTTAGGGTCTTCACTCTTTTGTTTGCCACACCTGAGCAATTTTATACTCCATCCTTTTACTTTATGAATAGATCCTGCGTACGACCTCTAGTTCTAGTTCAGTCGCGTGAACATCGTCATATGTTACTTGTGTGTGTGCATTGCACACAATTCGTGCGCACCGATCACTTGGTGAGCACGTGTTCTGCACCGTGGAGCCAGCGCCATCGCCTTTCACATGTGGTAGACTTTTGTCATTCGCCTGGTCTGCCAGCGTTTCCCCATTGGGAAGATAAGATTCTTGTTTTTGCTTGTCGGTTTCCCTCTACTGAATACCGAGATCGAACGGACTGTCTGGCTTTGCTCAGTCGTATTTTCCACTAACCTATTTTTGTCACTCAGGATATTTTGAAGATTAATGAGTGAGTGATGTTGTAGCGGAATATCTAATTTACAGCCTTACAGCATTCTAATTCGCCCAATGTTAAATTTCGAAATAACTCTAACTGACGTGCGTATTAGTTTTGAGAAGTCGTGTTATCCTCGTATGTTATGTGCCATCTTGGTCAGTGTTATATAGCCATGTAAAAAAAGCACTTGCTGGTTTCAATGGTATCCTTCCGATGCATAATTTCACTTGTCTGCTCAACACTTCCTACCATTACAAGAGTTCCGTTTGTACCGATTGAGTGTCCGTTCCACATTTACACAGGCATCATGCCCTTTTGGGTTCCCTCGGTAAGCTTCCTCCATCAACTAAGGTATACTGCGGCCATGAATATACCGTGAAGAATCTTGAATTTGGTCTTACCGTCGAACCCAATAACAAGGCACTACAAGAGCGACTGAAACATGCGAAAGATCTGCGTGCTCGGGGACTCCCGACGGTACCGGGTACCATCCAGGACGAATTGGATACTAACCCTTTTATGCGCGTGGACCAGACTGATGTCTTAGCACATGCGAAGACCAATAACCCGATTGAGGCTATGCGGGTGATTCGTTGCGAGAAGGATCGATTCTAATACACTCCTTTGCTTTCATATTCACCTTCACTGTTGATTTTGCTTACAATATCAAGCGTTTATTGATTCATCCCGTATATGTCCTGTCCATCAGCCATCCCGGTATCTCAATAAACCACTTATGATCGTGACCACACTGCATTTTTGGCTGACATCATATTGCGTATCAGTTGAATTTTTGGTCACTGAGTGTCATCGGATGTTTTTTTTCTGAGGAGTTTTGTGTATCACGTTCAACTGAAAGTCAAGGGCACGAGAATCATGTCTATCATCAACACCAATGTAATTTTCAAATGAATGCACTTCGCCACTTACTGATAATTCGGAGTTCAAAAGAGCATAAGGTGGACGAAAACCTGGGGACTGCGCCTACCTGATAGGTTTCAAAAGGGACGAAATCGGTAGTGGGCTGACGAGTTTTACAGAAACCTTGGGGTTAATGTGCCTGTGAAGAAAAAATAGATATGCTTCTTTCAAAATCCCACAGAAACACCTAGTGGTCGTCGTTTGAACTAACGATTCCTATGAAGTACAAATATTGCTATCTCCGAAGCCACTCGCTTTCAGACGAGACGATCCTTTTACTGATCTACGGATGCCTATCGGCCTGGGATGATCAAATACGTTTAGGGGCAATTTCTCGTTCATAAAATATATGCAGATGCTTATCCTCGCCTTCTAATCTGACTTCTAGGAGGAATCAAGTATGCTAATTCCGGTGTAGCGTAGACCTTATCTTTTGTTCGTTTCCGGAGTAACAGTGTATTAAATTCAGTGAGTCCAACTCTTGAGATCCCAAACGTACCTACTCCGACACTACTCGATACTGAGATGTGAGACAGTTTCAAGTGTCTTCTCATCTTTCCCGCCATATTATTTCAAAACCGCATCATTTACACCACCGAAAATGACGGCTAACGAATTTTTCAGTTGATTTTCTAGCCCCGAATTTGGTTGTCGCACACAAACTTCGTGATCTCAGGAAGTTTTGTACGGGAATACTCGATATTTCCAATATATCCGGAACTGAACAGATGAGTAGGACCGCATGGACAATCGATCTCATACCTGCTTCGCACGCCCCGCATACACGCCCGGGCCACGGCATCTAGACTTTTGGACCGGTGCTATGACCAGCAGCTATCTATTATGTCACGAAGTGGATGTGTGCGCAGCAGTCATGCCACACCGTTAAAGTTTAAGTATAGTTTTCTCGGAGCAACAAAATGTTGGATAGTCGGCACAAGCACCATTAATCGATCAATCTTCGTTACCGAGTTGGGTGTACTTTCTTAGTGTGGGATGTGAGCTATTATAGCAATCTCATTCGTAGTGTCCTTGTGACTTTTAATCAGTTCCTGGCAGATATGCTTATCGAGTTTGTGTGGGCTGCGAACACCAACGTACAGTTCGGTTGGGTTACCTTGGAATAACAACTTCACTCAACGTTTCGATCACCGCTGGTCATCTTCAGGAATAGAATACTCGACTACATGCTTCTTGTTGACTGATTCAAGATTTATTCAAGACAGACATAAATGTTCTTGCCTCCTGCGGTTCTTTTTGGCCCATGCGTGTTAGCGACCTATCGGTTGTGCATCCTTTCGATAAATTAAACGATTTCATGAACCATGCACAATAAGTATAGCGGCATGTATATTCTTCAACTGGGAGGCGATCTTTGTGTTTCGACCCTTGTTTTGTTAGCAGGTTATATTCAACCCACCACTTTGTACACAACCAAAGGAAACTCTTTTTTGAATCTGAATAACAACAAAGTTGAACCAATGGCGAGTACGTTACCGTCGGGCTGTCAAGCCGTGTCATATATTTCCTTGGTTGGTTGTATTCAATACCACAGCATGACCTGAATAGCAGTGGTCTAAATAATGGACTTCAGCTTTGTTTCGTTGGCCACTTACATATTGGAGATTCGTTTGTATGGGTGTGAAGCCGTCGAGTGTAAGGTTGTATCAAATTTCCCCTACGTTTAGGAGCTGAGGACACCGAGCAGCGGCACACTGAAGCCACGTCTGTTTTACCGTTCTCATAAACATCTGGTGCCTATAAGCCCACCCAGAGACCATTTATTTCACTTCTAAGTCCTAGTCGTTTAAGGTACTGAACTAAAGGATTATTACTGCGAAAACACGAGACAGGAAACCATATAACGAATTCGTTACGTATGCTGGGACGACACATTGGGAAGTTTGAATAGGTGAATAGACGAGAAGTTCACGACTTGGTGAACGAAGCCAAATTAAGCATCTAAGGGTTTCAAGCGTAGTATAGTCCAAAGAAGCTAGGAAGCAAAGTACAGTTCTTGCTCGAACGGATTGACTAAAGTTACCTACTCTTGGGTTGCTTTCAACACAGATACGTTTCAGGAGTCTAATTAACTGACAAGAAACAGGAGATCGGTTGTGCATCCTTTCGATAAATTAAGCGATTTCAAGAACCATGCACAATAAGTATAGCGGCAGGTATATTCTTCAACTGGAAGGCGATCTTTGTGTTTCAACCCTTGTTTTGTTAGCAGGTTATATTCGACCCACCAATTTGTACACAACCAAAGGAAACTCTTTTTTGAATCTGAATAACAACAAAGTTGAACCAATGGCGAGTACGTTACCGTCGGGCTGTCAAGCCGTGTCATATATTTCCTTGGTTGGTTGTATTCAATACCACAGCATGACCTGAATAGCAGTGGTCTAAATAATGGACTTCAGCTTTGTTTCGTTGGCCACTTACATATTGGAGATTCGTTTGTATGGGTGTGAAGCCGTCAAGTGTAAGGTTGTATCAAATTTCCCCTACGTTTAGGAGCTGAGGACACCGAGCAGCGGCACACTGAAGCCACGTCTGTTTTACCGTTCTCATAAACATCTGGTGCCTATAAGCCCACCCAGAGACCATTTATTTCACTTCTAAGTCCTAGTCGTTTAAGGTACTGAACTAAAGGATTATTACTGCGAAAACACGAGACAGGAAACCATATAACGAATTCGTTACGTATGCTGGGACGACACATTGGGAAGTTTGAATAGGTGAATAGACGAGAAGTTCACGACTTGGTGAACGAAGCCAAATTAAGCATCTAAGGGTTTCAAGCGTAGTATAGTCCAAAGAAGCTAGGAAGCAAAGTACAGTTCTTGCTCGAACGGATTGACTAAAGTTACCTACTCTTGGGTTGCTTTCAACACAGATACGTTTCAGGAGTCTAATTAACTGACAAGAAACAGGACGCTTATGGTGAAGCACGGGAGCCTTATAAGTCCATCCAATTACGACCGGCCTGACACGCATAAGCGATGTTTGGTGATAAAAAGACAGAGAGTAAACAAAATCCCTCGCTGGATTACTTAGTTTTGACCAGCACTTGGCAACTAACCTATATGGATAGCAGCACCAGTGGATGAACAACTGTGTGACATAGGATCAGATCTGATAGATCCGCTTTGTATCATTTTAGCAGTGGTTCCAGTGTAACTAATCCTCAAATACAAAAACGACAAGCATAGGACTGATGTACAACATAGTATAAGAAACAAAATATGATGTTCATATTGCGGCATGGCTTACCATAATAGAGTGCAAAGTTACACTTGGATTGGTTCAAGCTCATGGGCTCCAGCAGATTCTGTGGAGGGTGAGGAGTGGCATCTGTGTACGACGTAATACCTCGGATGCAAACGCGATCGCGTAAGTGGCCATGCACTAGCTAGTCATAAGTGGAATGCATCCTTGGGCAGTCTTAATCACAGTTATGATTAGGATTGTGTTGCACTCGGCTCAGGACAGATAGAGAAATTTCGAACAGAAGTGTTCGGAACAAGAAAAAAGTTCTTGGTTTTGCAAGAAGATCTGCATCAGAAGAGGTCGGTTTATGCGGTTGATGGCTTACGGTGTCACGCTCATCATAAGTATGCATGATGTCAATCATATTGACGCTGGCGCCTTTCTGTCTCACAATCATTTCAACTTGTTTGAAAGCAACAGTGGACCTAATGCTAGCCAATCAATGACACCCAACTTACCTACTCCACCAGGTACTAACTCGGATGAGCGTTAGTTCGTAGTCACATCTTGTGTAATCAAACCAAACTTGGGGGTTATATTGGTTCAATCCTGGGAGGCTCATCACACCTCAACCTAGTCTACTCTTCTTCACTCCGTTTTTCTAGGTCAAGGGATATCCTAATTTTGTTAACTGAGTTTAGAGCAAAAACGATGGCGTTATGGGAGAATGACGTGCTAAGCACGCGACCCGACCGTTGTAGCCTGTAGCAGTGGATGCATTATACAATTTCAACTCGCTGCGAATCACATGTTATGAACTCGTTCGCCAATGGTAGCTTCCGTTTCATCCACAGGGCAGCGAAAACACCTGGAGGCAACTGAGTTAGTCGAATTTACTGATCGGAGGGTGAGGATCTTACGCATTTCGGATCTCAAAACTGAAAGAAAACAATGTAGCTGTGAAATCGATAAGAAGCGGATAAACAAAAGTGTTCCGCGCTTCGAGGCGTCCGCGGTTGAACAATAAAATGTAAGGGGACTCCGCTATTCTTGCACGCCGCTCGATATCTATGTATGGCTAGTGCACGTAAAAAGGAGCTACGCTGTACTTTTGAAACTCATGATAAACATTTCCGTCCTTCGAAAGAGCGAGCTATCATTAGTATCCTTTACTCAGTTAGATCCAATTAACGAAGCACGCCAACACATGGTATATGGAGCTACAGCTGATTTCGTAACAACTGGGGCGCATCTCAAGGAATGTCTTCGTGTGACTGAAAGTAGGTGGTGTGTCGGCTATTAAGTAAACCGGTCCAGTTAGGTATAGTCATAACACGTCTTAGGAAATGCATTCAGTTTGCACAGCTTACATGCATGTACATTTTGCTCCTCACCTGGAACCCAGTTGAATCTCTCGTTTATAGTGAGTAGTACATTACGTGTATACACGTGTCACGATATCTCGAATATCGTACCAACTGAAACATGAGGCGGAGTGATCCAGTACACTCAGCTGCTTGGAAGCACCATAAACGAGGGATTCAGCTGGGTTCCAGGTGAGTCTGTTGCAAAGACAAAATTTGTTTGCAAATGAGTTTATTTCGCTAAGTACGTGCAACTTGGTTTCAACTAGAGCCTACGGTTGACGGGAACTCGGGGATAGCGCCTACCTAATGAGTCCCAAAAAGGGGAGAACCGGGCTGTCAAAGAATTATCAGAAACCTTATGAGTGGTGCATTACGTATATGATTAAACTGACCTTATCGCACTGGAAAAACTCTGGTAGACGCTTGTGACGAAGAACATCATCCGCACGAGGAAAAGTGGAAACCGTAAGCAGTGCACAGTAATCTGACGGGCAAAAGATGACGACGCCAAAACAACTTGCTAAAAACCTGTAGCCCG